AATTAATTCCAGTGATGTCCTGCTCGCCTCCTGAGGCTTTTACTGTTCCGTAAATGCTCCCTTCCTTGATGAAGGATATTGCCTTCAGGTGCTCCCGACACTGTTTCTCCGTTCTGCTGATTACGGTTGCCAGAGGCCAGAGAAATATATTATGGTCAAGGTCAGGCATGTCGGTTAAAACACTGTAGGTTTGTCACATTTTATTCTGAACAAAAAAACAAAAGCTATACAACTGTTGCATTTCTTTGTTCTCTCTTTAGTCAGTATGTGCATTTTTAGATTCTCTTTTTATTTTTAGATTTTGTTAAACCAGAGCTGCCTGAAGCAAGCTTGAGTGTGTTTCTTTTTTTTAAAAATAAAAATAGTAATACAATAAATAGATATGAAAACATTGAATGATTGTTGTATGTTCAAGCCTGTCTGATTCATGTGTTGAAGTGAATGTTCACACAAGCGCAGTGTGAACACATTCTCATCTGTGCAGAATTAAGAAACTGTTACAGTGTTGATTAACTTGCATTGTGTTTCGTTTTTCAGAACCACAGTCTGAGTCTGCACAGCAGCTAACAACAGAACCACCTGGAAGAGAATCAAGACCCCATCATGACCCAATAAATATATGAACATTGCAGTTTTCTGTTGCACACAGTCAAGCATTTATAAAGAAATGAAGGCAGGGGCTAAAAGATGTTTGACATTCCGTGTTCCAACAACCTATTTGTAAGTAATATCCTTCATGTTTTGCTTTTCCTTTTCTTGTAAAGAGTCTTGCATTTTTATTGTTAAAAATAAATGTTTGAACATTACAAAATAAACCAGATTGAACATATATGAGAAAGTATTTGGGCTCACAAAACAAGATGGTATCAGGAAAACTGAGCCATCATCACCAGCCCAGCCTGCCTCATGTGACCAGAGCAACAAACTTTTGAAATATGAATAATGAGGTGTTGAATATATGCAAAACCAGAACAATACAAAAGCAGCAGTAATCCATTCCTAATGATCTTCTCTTATCCTGAGGTCATTTCTCACAGTTCAAGAAACTGCTGTCTGTCCACATTGACTTGTATATTTCTGTTTTTAATGTTTACTGCTTGCTAAAGTCTGGATGTGTCTGGAATGTTTCTTTCTATATGAAAGAGGGCGAGGACATTTATTCTCTGTTGTCTTCATTTGTCTCATTGGGTTTGGCTACACAAATGCTGTCAGGAGCATGTCAACGGCTGACTGATGTGTAATGCCCTACTCTTACTGTAACAACGTTGTGTCTGATATGTACAGTATATACCAGTTTTACATTAAATGAAATTGACATGCACTTTTGCAACACTTTCATGGATGTGCTTGTTTTGAGCTGACCCTACACACTTGATAACTGGCAACTGGACAATTGGAAATTAGACTTTTATTATGTCACAACATGTCAATTAAAAAAAAAAGGTTCTATAAAAATATTAACTGAGGTCCGATTTGTTGGACCGTTTTTTGTGTTCTCATGTGATGAAAACATTAAAATTGTATGAAGATATGGATTTGCTGTGCTTTTCCAAAGATGTTTCATTACTGTGTTTCTATGTGT